TTTTATAGAGAATTAAACAAGGATTACGATGGTGTAATTTTAAATCCCAAATTTGCTGGTCTTTACTATGCAAATCCACATAAAATAGTTCAACTGTTACTAGCTAGGATAACTTTAGGATCAATCAGGAAAGCCCGTTTCTTTATCTTCAAAACGACGTTAAGATGAAGTCTCTACGATGAGTAGAGCCCGAGATATAACGATTTGAAGAAGTACATGAATGGTCAGAATCACGAAAAAATTCGAACTTTGACAGATATATCTCCGAAGGAAAAAAGAAAAAAAAAATCCTTGAATACGTGTTATCTTATTTCAAGCACAGAACCCATAAAAAATTTGAAGCGAATAGGACACATGACATAATCTTTTTTTACGAAATCCCTCCGACTTGTATATATGCGCAAATCTAAAAAATAGGTACACCTCCAAAAAAAATATTCTAATTTTTGAATTTGTGAGCACACCTATGCTTTATATATCATTTTATTCGTATTTTCTTAATAAATCGATTAATATAAGTGTAATTCATTTTAATCAAGTGCTTCAAAAGTTAGACGAGGAATACACATGAAATAGAAAACAAAAGAATAAGTTGCGTTCAAATTACGTAGTCAAGTTGTAAATTTTGAGGAGACATTTTGAAAGTTGAACTCACTTAATTGCGACGTTCTAAATTCAATGGCATCCCCCGTTTTACCAGATTGGCTCCGGTTTTCGAGATAACGGTATTTGAAAATTTTATTAAATTTAACTCTTTTATAAATAACTCCCTCAGTTTTGAAGTTATTTTACTAAAATTTTGCACATAACGGTTTTTTAATATTACGATAATTATTCGTTAAAATTATCGAAATGGGTGCACTTTAACGTATAGCTCCAATACAACTGATTAGTCAGATACGTGTTTTTGCGCTATAACTCTAACTTCAAATCTGATTAATAAATTGTATGCGTGCTATATGTTAAAGTGAACATATACTAAATTTTTACCTGCTTAATTGGAGGAGTTATAACGCAAAACAACGTCTCTGGACAATCAGTTGAATGAGAGCTAGATTTCAGAGTGAACCGATTTTATGGGATAGTGAAGGAAATATTAAAATAAAAGCGTGTGCAAAATTTTAGTAGAATATCTTCAAAAATGAGAGTTTTTTATAAAATAGTTCAAATTTAAGCAAAGTTTCAAGTTCCGCTATCTAGAAAAGTGGAGACAATCGGGCAAAACTGGGGACGCCATTGAATTTAAAAGGCTCCAATTAAGTAAGAGCAGCTATCAGAACCTTTGTCGAAAAAAATTTGATTTGATACCACGCTCGAAATATTCTGACTATAAGAAGGAGCATAATTAAAAGTACTAAATCGGGGTTTTTACACACTTGTAGAGAAAATTTGTTTGAAGAATTTTACAGGTATATGCAACGTTATGAGGACTAGTAGTTATAAAAAAATTTAGATCGTTTCGACGTATTTTCCAAATGTGCCTTCAATTCAGATATTTTTGGAATAAAAATTACGCTCCAGATCGCAGAATATTTTATCTTTAAGAGTAGGTTTATTCTGGAAGCACACCTCTTGCTAAGGTATCAAATTATTCGTAATTGTTTGTAAAATGCAATACATACTTAAAAAGTTCTTAAAATTAAATGCTTCAAAAACTATACGCGATAAACTGAAAATTTTGAAAATTGTGAAATGAGTTACAGACTTTGAGTTATTTGCCATTTCGTTATTTTTTAAGGCACACTTTTCTTACCTACTACATATAAAGTGTACACATAAGTGCTAAATGCCCATTTAATTTCAAATCAGAATATGGTGTTCTTCAAAAGTTATGACATAATTAATTTTGCCCCTCTTAAAAATTACATAAAACAATTCAATTGTTTTCATTATTTTTTTTTTTTAATTTAAACGCCTATAATTCAAAAGTTAAGGCGCTGGCCCAATGCTGGCTTGGTTTGCATGCCTTACTTACTTCAATTTACTTTGATTTACTTCAAATACTCGTTTGGCCAAATAGCGGCTTGGAACTCTGTCAAAGCTACCAGCTGTTCAGTTAAAAAATCAAGGTCTGTTCCCTTACACACAAAATGTCAGAAAATTAAAAAAAAAGAAATGCAAAACAATCTCTTCGGATTTATTTTTAAATTAATGCGATTTAATTTTTGGATTTCAAAGGAATGATAACAATTATACATATATAAATATATGTACATTTATTAAAAACAAAAATAAAACGGTTTTTCCAGAGACGGCTGATCACTAGTTTAACATCATAAATATCGCTAGCTTTGCTTTGTGAAAATTTGCTTAGTCCACAATTTTTGAAACCTCATATTTTCATAAAGGAAGCAAGAGAAATTAAGGTACTTGTTTTATTTTTTCTCGATTATGTTTAATGAAAGGCAAATTTTCTAAGTCCAAAAGAGGCGTTGAAATTCCGTTAAGGCCAAAGTAATAAGAAATCTTTTAATAAAGATCGAATCCTTCTGATTCGTATAGAGTTTTGCTTTGCTTCAAACACGCAAAATGTTGTATTCAAAGTTCCCGTCAAATTTGCAATAATGGACTTAGCAACTTTTCAGCCAGCGATATGTTAAATATATTTTTTTGTAATTACGTAAGAAAATTTTTGTTCATAAAAGTGTGCAGCAGTTTGTTTGAATTCATTAAGAACGGGAACATACCTTTTTGTCAAAAGCCTACAAAACGCTTTCAAATAAAACATTTGCCTATTTGAAACTTTGAGGCGCTTAAAGCAAGTGAAGCAAAGCTGCTATTTGGTCAGCCTTCATACGTTTTAGTATATTCCAAATAACTTTTGACAGTCCTCAAAGTGAAGAAAGCAAAGCAAGCCTCCATTGGGCCAGTACCTTTATGCAGCAAATTGATCCAAATTTTTTTTGCGGCTTCAAGTATACGTCAACGAATTATATCCAAAAGCAACCAGCTTGATATAGTTTCGAACAGTGAAAATAAAGATAAATAACACCAAGGTTGCCTGTTTTTTAGATTTGCCCATATACTTAAATTTAAACGCGAGAGCTTTTTCATACGCGTATTTTTTTAAATCTACCACGTTTTTTTATTTTCTAAAATTTTTTCCCTCAGTGTGAAAATACTATATTTAATAATTGCGCCCAAAGAATGAATCGATTAAAATACGAATTCGTTGAGGGATGAAGTGTTGCGTAGACCAGAGCGCTCGAGGTATTCCGTATTGTTTTCCTACGACTACATTTATGTGACTATCCCAAGTAGGCATGGGTAACACTGCGCTGCGCGGCGCAATTGCGTAACACCATAGCCGGAGTTGCCGCGCCAACACCAGTAAATGGAAAGCGCCAGCGCCATTAACACCAAGCAATATAAGAGGCACACACACAATTCGCTTTAACTCTTTGAAAATTTACACGTACTTTGTTTTTGCATTTGAGTGTTGAGAACGCAAATTTAAAGCTTTTAATCAAGAATGATAGAATATCGTAGCATTTACTACATTCCTAAAAATTAAATTCAGTTGGCGGTACAAGCGTTGGTCAGCGCTTATAGAAATAATAGACATGACACCACTCTATGGTGTACTGCACTGTATGACGTTGGGTACTGTGGTGACACTCAGCTGGCGCCGTGTTCAATTCAATACACTGCGCTATTGCGCTGGGTTAGTGCACTGACACCACAGGTGGCGCTGGCGTTATTGAGCTAGCGCCAAAAAAATTGCGCAATTACCCATGGTTAATCCCAAGTTAATGTTTTGTTGAAGATAGTTCTTGGATTTTTGGCCGTCTGTAGAGATGACAAGCACTTGTGACTTCTTAGGGTTAAGAGTTAGTGCATTGTCGGATGCCCATTTGTTAATACGGCATAAGTTATGGTTGATTTTAACAATATAGTCGTATATATCATTGAGCTTGCAAGAACGATAAGCCTGAACATCATCAGCATACAGGTGAGAGCTCATATCGGTAACGATAGCCGGTAGATCATTAATATACAAAGAAAAAAGAAGGGGACCAAGAATGGATCCTTGCGGAACACCTCTGCTTAGTATTAATTGAGATCATGTCAATGGCCCACTACAGACCACTTGTGATCTATTTCCTAGGTAAGAGGCAATTAACTTTAAAGAAGTAGGGGAAAGTCCAAAAAAACTAGCGAGCTTTGCCAATAAAATACTGTGGTTAACGGAATCGAATGCCTTTGAGTGGTCAAGTAGGGTAAGGAATGTGACTTTTTCCTCGTCGATGGATTCGCGAATATCTTCAATAACGTCAGTCAGCGCAGTTATACAGTTGTGTCCTTTTCGGAACCCGGATTGCCTTTTATGTAAAAGGGAGTGCATAGAAAGAAACGCGTTTAACTGCTTATGCAAAACTAACTCAAATACCTTCGAAAGATAGGATAAAATTGCGATTGGTCTGAGTTCACCGTCGGCTTTAGGAATCGGCAAGATTTTAGCGGAATTTTGGGAAAACGGATGTGGTTAGTATTGTGTTAGAACAGTGAGTAATATACGGAAGTAGAACGGGTAAAACGGCTTTTAGAAAAACAGGGTGTATACCATCTGTCCCAACAACATTAGACTTAATTGAGAGAAAACATTCAAGGACGTCGGACTGATCTACACACGAAAAACTAAAACTTATATCATTTGGTACAACAAGAGAACAAGGTAGATTAATGTTATTGTTTGTGACTCGGGGTGCCGAAATATTTACAATTTTTTTATTTAAAGAATCAAGATCTTCCGAAGCTTGAAAACTGTTCACTTTACTCTTAACAAGACCGATAGTTCTGATCTTTTGCCAGGGTTGTTTGCTACCGATTGCCTTTGCAAAATTATTTTCAAAATACTTGGCTTTGGCACTTCTAACCATTTTAACAACCGCCGTCTTTAAAACTGTAAAANCCTAACAAAGGAGATATTTACATTTAAGTTGTTGTAGTATTTTAGAAAAATCAGAAATATAAAAACAAGAGAACGAAAAACCAATAATCTAAGTATTGCTGCGAAAGAGAAAAGTTTGTTCGTCGGCTTTAACAATATTTGTCAGCGTTTGCATAGTTGGCACACGAACGGGTGTATCGCTAGGAGAGCGCTTTATAAAAATTTGCCCGCGCCTGGTAAAAGTTGATGATATTTTCTTATGTTTCTTCAGTCGCAGCGCAGTTTTCAGCAACGCATGACTTGCTTTAGTCAAGCATTCGTTGATATAAATTGGCATTTTGGAGTCAAACCCTGCATGCCTTAGGCATAATTTATCTTTGCCACGATTATGAAGTTCAATCGACTTGAGAAACACTCCCTTTTCATGAGGAGAGGTAAACTTGACAATAATCGGAGCATCGATCGTGGTGGTGTTAGTTTTCCTCATTCGAAAAATACTCTTGACTGTTGGCACCGTACTATTGATTGAGGTGCAGATATTCTTCAGTAGGCCCGTTAGATCCTCTCCACTTTGCGCTGGTATACCGTGTAGACATGCATCAGCAGCGACTTCAGCTCGTTCGTAGCGATCAAGCTGAGTTCGCAGTGAGCACACTTCAGCGCTAAGAGATTCACTTGCGCACACCTCCGCCTTATGAGTATGAACATCATTGCACAACTTCGCTATTTCAGCACAGTCGCGTTCAGCTGCCACTACTCTGTCTTCAAGAGATTTTACGCTTTGCTTTAAATTTGTAAGCTCAGCCGTCAGCTCCCCTATATGTAGTAGTATGCGCTCACCTGACTCCTTCGTTGATTCTTTCACTGCACTCACTATTCTCGCCTCCAATTGCGAAACCCACGCAGCATTAGGCGAGCTCTCACCTTTACTGAAATTGTGATGCGTTGTTGGACTAGCACCCACGGTTGTAGCTATGAGGCGATCTGCTCGTAGTACGACCCAATTAATCTGGTATTTCAGGGTACTATTTTATATATATATATAAGGAAAATTTGAAAGTTAGGGGGGAGGCTCGAGCACCCCCCTGCCCCTACCTGGCTACGCCCATGCTTCATAGTATATCGTTCAATATTTCAGTTCCGGAAGAACCAAAACCATTTCGATTGACATCAATTTTTTAACAATTGATTTATTTTTTAAATAATTTGAATAGAATTTTTTAAAAGTTGCACATCTATAGTCCTAGCCTTTTAACCGATTAAAGTCTGCTCATTGATCCCGTCGTGTAATTTTATTAAAATTTTATCAGAGTGCTTATATAAGTCATGGAAGTTGTTTTGCTTAATTTCAGGCATATAACTTTTACCATAATCGAAATTTTCATATAACGACGGCAATAAAAACTTGGTGAAAATCGCAGACGACGGTCTCAATTTGCAGCCATCCACATCGAAAGCGGCACAAGAAACTTGCAAAGTGATTGAATCACAAAACCCAAAGTGGAGCCACCGGCAAAACTACGAGTTTGGCAAGGAACCTTTTGATAATACTGCAAGCTCACAAAACGAGCTAGATGAGAAGATTGGTAAGTTGCCTCGCGTTTTTTCTTATACTTATTACTTATTGAGTGCATTTAGGATCACTGTCTCTACTTCAGTTGTGGGATTGCTTCATAGATGATGATGTACTTATTGTGGTTGTAGATAGCACAAACGAGTATGCTGCACAACATAATGACCCTGCATTTGTAACCACAACGGACGAAGTAAAGAGTTTCCTTGGCATTTTGTACATTACTGGCTATCATATTTTGTCTGACATACCAGCATATTGGTCTAATCGGGAATGTCTAGGTTGTGAATATATAAAGAAATCTATGAGCAGAGACAAATTTAAAGTAATCAAGAAATATATACGCCTCCGAGTGACAAATTTGTCAAAGTATCGCCTCTGAATGATACTTTGAATAAGAAGTTCATGCAGTTCGACGTATTCTCCCACAATTTAAGCATAGATGAGCAGATGATCGCTTATTATGGACGTCATTCGTGTAAAATTTTTATAAAAAGCAAGCCAATCCGATTTGGGTACAAATACTGGTGTCTGACATCGGACGATGGCTACTGTTACCAGTTCATACCGTATGCTGGTACAGCTACAAATTTCAGTAATGATTATAGCCGTGGAGAAAACGTTGTTCTCCAATTATTATCCCATCTCGAACGTCCCGAGTACCACAATGTGACGTTTGATAACTTTTTTACGAGTTATGATGCGTCGCTTGAGCTGTAATTGATACTTCGCAACGGGCACTGTGCGTGATAATCGAACTAATCATGCTCCTTTGGTGTGCATTAATGATATGAAGAAAAGACCGGGAGAAAGCTCTGATTTCGTATTTGATAGTTACGCGCTGTAGACGTAAAGTCCTCTCTCGTCGTACAAAGATCACACTCTTTAAGTCACTCAGCATGCCTGTGCTTGTGTATAACGCGGAGGCATGGACAATGAAAGCATCTGATAAGGCGGCTCTTCGAGTTTTCGATAGAAAGATTCTGCGAAACATTTACGGACTTTTACGCGTTGGTGATGGCGAATATCGCAGACAATTTAACGATGAGCTGTATGAGCTTTACAACGATATAGACATAGTGCAGCATGTCGTTCGAATGGACAGAAACGCTCCTGCTCTGAAAATATTCACCGCGGGCCGCGATGCTGGTAACAGAGGAAGAGGAAAGCCTCCTCTGCGTTGGAAAGGCCAGGTGGAGAAGTACTTGGGTTCACTTGGCATTTCCAAGTGGCGTCAGTTAGCAAAGAAGAGAAATGACTGGCGTGCTGTTTTGGACTCGGCCACAAGCGCTTAGGCGGTTACAGCGCCAATAAAGAAGAAGAAGTTACAAGCCGGAATGACAATTCGGTAGTTTTTCTATACAATAAATTTTTTTTTAATTTGTTCTGTTGTATAATATTCTTTTGTTTTGTGATGAATATATTACAGGTTGTAACTATTATGTCAAACTTTACACGCTCAAAACGAAGATATTTTTCGTAAAATCACCGATGAGCTTGATAAGTGTATGAAATCTTATTACACCTATCAACTTAAAAGTAGTCGAGGACTAGAAGTTGTCATAAGAGGCATCGAGTCCAGTGTGAACTCACAAGAGATAGAAAATGGTCTTAGGGATGAAGGTTTTAAAGTGCGCAATGTTTTCAGCATCAAAAATAAAGAAAATATCCCTCAACCGCTGTTCAAAATAGAGCTAGAACCTGACATTCACAATCTGAAGAAAGGGGAAGTGCATCAAATATATCAATTTCGATATCTTCTACACCGTAAAATCTCCGTAGAAGAACCCCATAAGCGTAGGGGCCCTGTTCAATGTCATAACTGCCAGGAATTTGGTCACACACGTCGCTACTGCAGCATACCTGGTGCCTGTGTTATCTGTGGGGATCTACACACTTCTAAAAATGTGTGAAACCAAAAATGGACACAAAATCTAAAAAGTGCAGTAACTGCGGTGGAAATCACACTGCTAACTTTAGAGGATGCCCAGTTTATATCTCAATGAAAGAGAAAACAATTCGTAAAAATATTGCTATTAGGCCAATCCCCATACCAGAACCCGCTAAGCCAATGTATGCACAAATGCTCAAAAATACTCCTCTGTCACAACCTCTTTTTGGTCAGAATAGTAGTAACCTAGAAGCTACTATAAACAACTTTATGAAAGTTATGCAGGAGCAAATGATGGCAATGCAGAGCATGGTACAATATTTGATTAAAAATGAAAATCTATTACTTTAAGCCATTTTAGCTAAGCCATGAATAATCTTAAAATTTGTTTTTGGAATGCGAACGGGATAACCCAGCATAAAAACGAACTACAAATTTTCCTAGACCGATATCATATAGACGTTTGGCTTGTATTTGAAACCCACCTTACGCAGTTTAATAACTTACAAATTAATGCGTACAAATTCTATGATACTAAGCATCCACAAGGTCATAACATAACAGAGAAACAATTTAATGACTTTTCCAAAAGTTTGGCAGTAAGTTCATTGTAGCAGGAATTACATTGCCAAGCACACATTCAGGGGATCTAGATTGATTACATCAAAGTGTAGAAACCTATATAAAGTAATACAGAACAGAGCATTTGTCGTCTTGTTTACTGGTCAGCCAACGTATTGGCCATCTGACCCCCAAAAAATACCCGATCTTATTGACTTTGGTGTAACAAAGGGTTTTGCGGGAGACCGAATTAATACTGAAGCCTTATTAGATCTCTCTTCAGATCATTCATCCTGCCTCATAAAATTATCAATGTTTATTAATTATGACGAAAAACAAAAAAATCTTACAAATAAGCACACAAACTGGTTAAAATACAAAAAGTATGTCAGTTTGCACATTGACCCGCAAATTTCTATTCGGACCAAGAATGATAGCGACAGGGCAGCTCAACATCTCACTGTTATGATAGTTAAGGCTGCAGAAATTGCAGCACCAAATCCTTCTATTAAACATCGCAGTTCTTACTTCCCTGGCCTGCACACCCCAAACATTCTTAACTTAATAAGTAAAAAGCGCAAATTAAGAAGGGAATGGCAAAGAATTCGCTCTCCGAAGCTTAAACAGGACCTGAATACGTGTACAAAGAACTTACTTATTTTGTTGCAGGTGGAAAAAGAAAGAAGTACGCAGTCGGTCCTTATCTGCTTCGAAAGAGACTAACTACTCCCTTTGGCGAACACTGAAGCATGCGAAGAGGCCCGTTCTTCGAGAAGCACCATTACGTACTCAGAACGGAAGCTGGGCGAGGTATATTGGGGATAAAGCAAACGCTTTCGTCTGCCATCTTTCCAATATTTCAATACCCCCCAGTAGCCTTACCACAAATCCGCTTCGGGTTAAAAAGAAAGATTTAATTAACACCATTGTTCATGATATTCAGAAGAATAAAGCGCCTGGTTACGATAGGATTACAGGTGAAATGATAAAGGAGCTTCCACAAACTGCCGTACATTTTTTGTTACATATTTTTAATAACATGCTTAAGTAGGGTTGCCAGATTTTTTATGCGCGAAATCAGTACATTAGACTTTTTCATGCTAAAATAATCGGTACTTTTCGGTACATTTTTATTCAAAGCAAAATTATGAATGTAAGTAACAGATAATACTTTAAAATATCACAGCACCTGCTTTTAACAATATTTTGGTTTATAAATAAAATACAGTTCATAAGAAATAAAAGTGTTATTCATTTTAACATAAGTGTACACATCATTGTATNTTTATTCAAAGCAAAATTATGAATGTAAGTAACAGATAATACTTTAAAATATCACAGCACCTGCTTTTAACAATATTTTGGTTTATAAATAAAATACAGTTCATAAGAAATAAAAGTGTTATTCATTTTAACATAAGTGTACACATCATTGTATACAGAAGCCAATAAATAATTTTATATTTATGACATTTTTGAATATGTAGCAATAATGATATCATTTCCTTCTTCAGTGTTTAAATAGTCAAAGAATTCTATACATTTCATTTTAAAATTACTTGTAATTTGAATTTCACTTTAAAAAATTTTAATAGAAGCCGGCTTCTCGCTTTGCGCATGGAAGCAAACATTATACTTAAGATCCTCCCAGTTGCTTCGTTTGAGTGTGGTGTTGAAAAAAAAAATTACATTTTTTAAACTCTGGAAAAGTACCACTATTTAATGACTTCATCTATATTTCCTCTTGGCTTAAATTAATTTTTGCAACTACGCAGAAACTTTGCAAAACTAAGAAGTCGAAAAAAGAGTATCAACTCTTTGTATTTTATGAAAACTCTTTTACAATGTCAATAAATTGCAAAAAAAAAGAATTGTATGTTATAGGCGAATTTGCTGTTATTAAACTGAAAGTTATTTTCGAGATATCTAACAACACACGACAAAAAAAACTTCAGCCTTCTTTTTGAATAATTTGAGCTCCATCATATTATCGCAAGTGG